ACATATAATAGTAAGATTGAGAATTGCAGTGCATTTCCTGAAAAATCACTAAATCACAGTTTTGAAGTAGTTTCTCCTGTCTACAGCCATACCACCCTGAACACACCCAATCTCATCTGGAGTAGTTTCTCCTAAGAAACGTGAAATAACTTATTATGGCTCTGACACGTGACACTAAATGGCACCCACTTTTAGGGAAGGCCAGAATGGTGGTGAACAAAACAGCACTCAGGAATGAATGGGAACAGCTATCCGTGAAAAAAGTAGTGGCGAAATTAAAGATGTTCCCTTCACCATACTTACATATAATGGCATAGCATGCTCTTTGCTTTTTCTTGGGAAGATACTTTTAGCCATATGGCTTCCATATGGAAATAATTTCTTCTCCTAATTAAGATCACATTTATGAATAAAAGCAGAGGAAGGAAGCCAGGGTATCATACCAAAAGCTAGGGTAACTAGGAAGTCTTTGAGGGATGTAAGGTGGAGGAAGGATTTGGAAGGAAGTGGTTTTATAGACCTCGTTTTGTCTTGGTTGTTTTGTGGTCATTATTGGAGTGATGTCTGAAACTCATTAAGGGTTTGGTTTGGACATATTTATGGAGAGTCGTAAAGCTCTCCTGCACTTGGTAGTTCCCCTTTTGTTGTAGATTAGGAAAATTTACTCTTACCCGCTCATGAAGAGTTACTTATATTTTAGAAACTTTCTTGCACAATATTTGTTCCATAAAATTTTAAACTATTATACTTTTCAAGTAAAGGCTAAACCCTTTAAAGGAAAGTTGTGTAAATACCTTTAACAGAGGATTATGAAATGGGAAGAAAGAAGGATGAATAGCTTTGGATTTTAGTAGCTTTACAGACATTGTTTAAAAAGAAAACGAGAAAATGAAAACAATTTCATTGGTGGAATTATAGAGCATTAGTTCTGTCCATGGTGAAACAGATTTGGGGAACAATGTTTTACTTTGTCACAGATCAATTTATTTTACTCTTGTGGAAGTAGATACACTGATAGCTAAATTTTAACCAAAGAAGAAATATTTAATTAAGTTCTCATTTCACGTTGAGGGTCTATTAATACTTTAATGTTATACGTAAAAACAAACACAGGAGAAAACAAGAAATGTGCCTAACGGTGATATTTCTTTATGCTTGAATGTCAGCAGTGTGTGTAATAGGAACATTGAATCCAGTTTTGCTAAAAGTGCATTCAAGGCTGGCATTATTGTCTTTGAATTAAATGAACATAGTTTGCATTTGCTACTTCAGTAGAGTTACCACAGACGATCAAAATTCAGAAAACAACACCTACCATCTTTTAAAAAAATTATATATCACCAGGTGTGGTGGCACATGCCTGTAATCCCAGCACTCTGGAGGCTGAGGCAGGAGGATCATTGTGAGTTTGAGACCAGCCTGGGCTACAAAGTGACGTCAAGACCAGCCTGAACTGCATAGTGAGACTCTGTCTCAAAGAGATAAAAAAAATCATATATCTACACACACACACTCATGGGAATACCTTCAAACTCATCATAGACTGTATATACATTTACTGGGGGTGGGGCAATTGATTATTCAAGTTATGTTCTATTAAAACCATCGATGATTCAATTTTCAATACAAAAAGGATACTAGAATCAGAATTCTACATTAGGGTATAGATTTTGTGAAATACAACTCTAATATGAATTCAATAAATTCAGTGAATTCAATTAATTCTACTGCCTGTAAGGCAGTAGAATATATTTGTAGCTTTATAAAGTCTCTCTTTGGTTTCTGTTTAAAATTTCCAAATGAATACATGAAATAGATAAAAAATGTGTGTTTGTGTGTGCATGAACGCATGTATCCAGGCAGTGGCAGTCTTATCAGACAGGTAAATTACTTATTTTCTTAAAACCTGGATTCGGTTGAGAAGCTGGAGGCAAGGAAAGAGAACAAGGGCCAGGGTGGAGGGCAAGATTAGTAGTTGAGGGTAAGAATCCAGGGAGTTGACCAGCAGCCCCACACACTTCCCCACAGCCCTAGCTGCCTGCCCCCACCCCAACCACACTCTCCCTTCTCTACAGCTCCAGTCTGAGAAACAGCAAGGGAAATTTAAAAATCAGAGTGTGGAGAAGAACTCTAATTTTCTGACTTAGAACGTCTGACATAGGAAATTGATTTAACTATGCAAGTTTCCCTCACAAGAGTTTCACATGAGTGAACTAAACCCAGAAGGAGATAAGTGTTTTGTTAGTCAGCAAGTAAAACAATACTAGCATCAAAGACTCCTGATTTCCAATTCAAGATGATATTTGTGTCCACATTCTGGGAGAAGGCCAGAAAAACTTAAGCTAAGAACCTCTTTATGATGAAGGCTGGTATACTGCCTCTGCCACTGAGGCAGAGATTGGGAAAGATGCTTAAACCAACCAGGGATCTTTTTTCTAAAAGGAAACTACATGTCGCCCAGAGGAGTTATCTGATCGTATGTGGATTTGCGCTTGACATTTTTAGAGGAAACTTTAGAAGCCTTCATCAGACAAAAGCAGACTCTTTCCAGATGGTGCCTTACACACCTACTGATCCTAGAGAATTCAGTGTCCATCCTGTGCTGCCCTTGGTTTATGTGTGCTTCAGGTTCTTCAGACTGACTGTGAATCTTTGGTATCAGGTTGCATTTGATGTCATGGTCTTCCTGATTTCTTTTATGTATGGGCGAAGGATTTGCTTTTCCAGTCTTTCAAGCTGTCTTTAATGCTGCTTGACCTTCCAAGCCATGTAAAACCGTGTACCAGACTATCGTAAAGTCCAAAGCTTCCATAGGAGATATTCATAGGGTGGAAAAAAATCCTTTGAGAGTCAACACTACTTATAATTCTGATTTACTGTACAGATATATGTTTTGATCATACAAATTCACCTGTTCTGAAGATGGAGATTTTGCTACATATAGATGTTGATGGATACCCTATATGTACCATCAATACATGTGTTATTATACATGAGAGTTTTCCACTATGAAACATCATTCTATAAATATTTATTGGACACCTACTATGTGACAAATACTATGGACTGGCCTTAAGGATTCAATGATGAGAAAAGCAGAAATGTTAATGTTCTTATAGAACTTACATAATTATTCTCTGCAAAATGTTTTCCTTATAGAGGATAATTATGGGCTCTGGGTTCTCTTTGTTTACAATCACATATTTTAACATAAGGATTTTATTAAAATCTAATATAAGTAGAGAAAAGTACACCAATCAAGTGCACATTTCAGAGAATTTTCACCAAGTGAACATACCCATGACACCAACAGCCAAATCAAGAAACAGACTGTTACTAGTCCCCCTGAAGCCCTCTCCCCTTTTAAAACTCCTTCCACTTATTAATCTTCCCAAGGTAACTCCTTTTCTGACTTCTGACACTGTAGGTTAACTTTACCTTTGGATTGGTTAGGGTTCTGTAGAGGAACAGAATCAATGGAATGTATAATTTTGAAGGGAATTTATTAAATATGGTTATAGAACCCGAGGCTAGATGGTCCACAAGTGCAGTTTGCATGCTGGAGAGCGAGGAGCCAGCAGCTGCTCAGTCTAGGAAGGTGGAAGCCATAGAACAGGCGGGACCAATTCTGAGGGGCCATTCTCAGGGCCATTCTGAGGCCCAAGGCCTGGAAGCTCCCTAGAGAGTCGCTAGTATGAATCCATGTTGAAAGGCTGAAGAAGCTGGTGTCTGATGTCCGCTGGTGGTGGTAGCAGCAAAAGATGCACCTGCTCAAGCAGAATCAAGCTTTCAAGTGGAGCCTCACTTCTTCCCCTTTTCATTCTGTCCAGGCTGTAACCCTATTGGAGGATGCCACCCACAATCAGAGAGATCTTCAATTTTCTGTCCAGTGTGCCAGTCATCTCTGGAAATGCCCCACAGACACACCCAGAAGTGTGCTTTACTAATTTCCTAGGCATCTCTTAGTCTAGTCAGGTTGACAATCAAGATTAGCCATCACAACCTTGTTCTGAACTTTATAGAAATGAAATCATACATCTGCCTTCACTTGCTCAGTATTATGCTTGCACGATTCCTCTGATTTGTTACATGCCATTGGGCTTATTCATTCTCCTTACTGCATAGTATTCAGCTATGTACATGTATTACCATTCATTTATCCATTCTATTGTTACAGACACTTGGGATATTTCCAGTTTGGAGCCATTATCAATAGTGCCACTTTTAAGATTTATGTACATTTCTGTTGGGTATGCACGTATGAGTTAGATTGTTGGGTCATAAGTTCTGCACAGATCCATCTGTACTACACACTGCCCCATGTTTGCCACAGCTTACAGTGCCACCAGCAGAGTGGAAGTTCCAGTTCTTCCACATCCTTCTCAAGCTTGGTGTTACACGCTTTTTCATTTTAGCGTGCACTTTTAAATTTAAAAAATTAGAACAGAGCCACTGGGGCTGCGTGATTAGCAATGAGACATCATCAAGTTTGTAGCAGCAATGCTAATCTCCTGGATTTGGCTTATACCAGTGATTCATAATGGCATTGTATTGAATTACAAACTGCTTAACTGTTGATGAAATCAAAGCTACTGTTTACAGTGGACCATCCTGCAAAAGTTTGCCTTTCTTACATTTAGATTTAGGGATTTTTCAAGCCTTCAGTGGCAGACCACTTTTTTTTTTTGCAAGAAGGCCAAGTGAGAAGAAAAACATGTACCATCCGCTTTTTAAAATTTCAAAATGGAAATGGCTTTATTGAGTCTTGCAAAAAAGAAGCTGTCGTCCTGAAATTAATGTTCAACCATGTTGTAAAGCTAAGACAGCTAATTTGTAGACCAAGACCTTTAAGTGGGGCTGAGTTAGCAGCCCACATGGCTTTAGCAGCACTTCCTTAAGAGGAATCATAAATATAATGGATCTAGTTTTATTTAAAGCAGGGCCCAGCTGAAGAACTTTATTCTTAGAAAAATGCTGATACTTTTCTTTTTTCTTTTCAGTCCAAGGTTTACACTCGCACACCAACCTTATATTTGGACTTCAAATTGGACCAAGGAGCGAAGCATTCCCAGCCTATTCCTAAAGGTATGATGGATTCTGGGGTTTACTAATCATGCCGGGGAAATAACCAAAATACCAAGGGGGATCCTTTCTCAGGAATGTGCTTGTTTCTGAAGCTCAGCACAAAGTTCTGTGAAGTTTATTTATGTTAAATTATGTTTAAATTAGCAAATATTCTGTGTTCCTTCAAGTAAAAAAACATCAAGATGAATTCACAGAATAGTAGAGCCTGACTTTCTGGCCCACACCCTCAGTTTATAGATGTGAAAACTAAGGGACCATATATTAGTTACTTGCCCAAGGCCATGTCAAGACTTAGTGGATAAAAGAAAGCAAATAAAACACTCTATCTTCTGACATTCTGGCTGCTATTAAATCACAGTGTTCCTGCAGATTCAAACCTGTGTTACTTAAGAACAAGTGCATACTTGATTGAGCTGCAAGTTTTGCTTGATGTGGATCTGGTTGTGGAAGGCTTACCTTTAAGTTAACATTTGAATCCAAGGACTAATTGGAAAACTCCCAAATATTTAGGGTCAGATCTATTTTAAAAAATGGTTAAGGCTGAGGGTAAAGCTTGGTGGTCAAGCACCTGTTTCGTATGCACGAAGCCGTAGGTTCTTTCCCTAGCACCTCAAAAAAAGGTGGACCCAATAATTGGTTCTTGGTTTTTATGTGTGATTTGTATGACAATGAGCATACCCTATCTGTTGTATGAAGTGCTTTTGGCTTGTATTTTTCATATGTATGCTTTATTAGTGCATATTAATTATACAGAATGTTGGGTTTTTCATACATGCATTTTCATACATGCATGTAACATAGTTTGATCATATACATCCCCCATTGATCTCACTGGGCCTTCTCTCCCACTTTGATTCTTTTATTCTAGTATGACAATACCCCTTCTACTTTCATGTCATCTTTTTCTTTTCTAAATTTCATATATTAGGGAAAACATGAGATATTTGTCTTTCCAAGTCTGCCTTACTTCACTTCACATGATCATCTCCAGTTCCATCCCTTTTCCTGTAGATGACAATGTCAGTTTTCTTTGTGGCTGAATAATACACCATTATATATATGTACCTCATTGTCATTATCCGTTCATTCTCTGATGGGCACCCAGGATTATACCATAACTGGACTATTGTGAATTATGATGGATTAACCATGGGGATGCAGGTATCTCTGTATCTCTGTAGTGTGTCGACTTTCATTCCTTTGAGCCTATGCCAAGTAGTATAGCTATATCATATGGTAATTCTATTTTTAGATTTTTGAGGAGCCTCCATACAGTGGCTGTACTCATTTACATTCTCACTCACTGTATGAGTTCCTCCCACACCCAGTATCTTTGCCAGCATTTTTTTTTGTATTAATGATGATAGTCACTCTGCCTGGGGTAAGATGGGATCTCATTGTGGTCAGAATCTTTTGATGGAGTCTTTAGTATCTTGTAAGTATAGAATCATGTCATCTGCAAACAAAGATAAGTTCATTTCCTCCTTTTGTATTTGTATCCCTTTAAAATTTCTTTCTCTTGCCTGACTAAAACTTGCTCTGGCTAAAATTTCAAGTGCTGTATTAAACGGGAGAGTTGAGAATGTACACCTTTGTCAGGCTCCTGACTTTAGAGGAAATGCTTTCAGTTTTCCCCCATTCCATAAGATATTGGTATGAGTTTCTTGTATATAACCTTTATTATATTGAAGTAAGATCCTTCTATACCTAGTTTATTCAGCGTTTTATGATGAAGGGCTGTTGAATTTTGTCAAAGGCTCTTCCTATATCTGTTGAGATAGTCGTGTGAGTTTTGTCCTTGATTTTATTTATATAGAGCATTCTGTTCATTGATGTGTGTATGTTGAACCATCCCTCCATCTCTAGAATGAAACCAGTCTGATCATTGTGTACTATGCTTTTAATGTGCTTTTGAATTCAATTTCAGAGTATTTTATTAAGTACGTTTGCATCTGTGTTCACCAAGGGTATTGATTTATAATCTTCCTTTTGTGACTTTATCTGTTTTTGGTATTGGGGTGACTCTAGTTTCATAGAATGAATTTGGAAGCTTTCCTTCCTTTGTATTTCATGGAACAGGTCAAGGAGCATTGGTGCTAATTCTTTAAGGGTTTGATGAAATTCAGCAGTGAATCCCTCTAGTCCTGGGGTTTTCTTTGTTGGGAGATAACTTGTACTTTGGCTGTTTGATTCCCTCCAATCCTTATCCTTCTCTTATCCCCTAGCAGCACCCTTCTTTATACATCCTCGATCTAGTATGCAGTCCACATCCATCCTTGAATTCAATCTTACTGTATTTTTCCACACTTCTTTCTACACTTAACATATATGTTCATGAAAAGCTACACATATAGGATTAATTTGTCATTGTTTTACTAAACTAGAGTAGTTTTAAATACTTTTTTGCATCTTATTTTTTATTTTCTGGAAAAAAGGTAAAACAAAAATTCATAACAAAATCATAGATGAATAACAATAGTTAATACAGTACATGTTGTTATCTTTAAAGTAGTTGCTCAGGGTACAAGATATGGGCATAAAAATTTCTCCAATTCATATTAACACAAACCTTCCTTTATAATGAATTAAAAAACACTAATAGTATAACTGACTTGCATTTTTTCCCTTTTCCTTACTGTCTTTTCCCCTTTCACCCATCCTAGTGCACCTTATTTTTTGACTGAACAAAACCTCATGGAAATCCTTTCCACAGTGGCTCCTCTATGGCTCCTTATGTGGTTCCTTTTCACAGTGATATTCTACATCATGTGTTCACTGCAATAGATTTAGCTCTTTCCTAACAATGATCACTCACTTTTTCCCTAGTGCTTGACTACTGAAAACTAGTCTGCAGCGAACACTTTTGTGCATCTGTCTTTCTGTGTGGAGATTTATTTTGGTAGGACAGATTCCCAGGGGTGGTCACCAGGTATATGCATATTTAATTTTAAAAGGCATTGCCAGATGGTAATCAAAAGAGGCAGTCACATTTCTAAGGGCAGCGTATGAAAATAGATTCCTTGTGACCCTACCAGCAGGAAGAGCATAGTTCATCTTATCTGTGTTCTCCTTTCAGCCATCACCCTACGCTGTCTCGTGAGAGAATGGGTAGGTGTGCATTCACACATTTGTCCATGTGTCTTATTTTTGTCATAATGAATATTTTTTATTTTAAAGAGAATAATAAAAAAACAATAGCAAAATACCAGCAACATAGACAAAAACAAAACAACGCAAAAACAAAACGATACAGGGTTTCACCCACATTTATAGCAGCACAGTTTGTCATAGCTAAATCTTGGAAACAACCCAAATGCCCATCCACTGAGGAATGGATAAAAAAGATGTCGCATTTTTATACAACAGTGTACTACTAAACTATAAAGAAAGATAAACTCAAGGCTTTTATAGCTAAATGGATGCAACTAGAGACCATGTCATAATGAATTTTAAACGTGAGATTTGTTTTCAGAAACATTTTTAGAGGAATACAAAAGCAAGCACCTTAGAAATGTGTGTTAGTTCTGAGTCTCTGTAAACTCCCTTTAACCAAGTCTGTTATAAGCCCAGCTGTGAACCAAAGGCCTGTCTTTTCTAAGAGATCACCTCCGGTTACAATGAGCTTTCTCTTTCTCCCTCTCTTCCCCTCTGTCTTACACACACACACACACACACACACACACATTTCCACTGAATTAGGTGATAAACTCAAAGTTTGAGACTTCCCTGTCCATTGCCAGACAGACACTTAAGTATTATTATAAAACACTTATTATTTGCAGATTTAACAGTCCTGACTGCCTGTAATCGGACATACTAGATGTAAACTTAGGCTGTCTAAATTTTATTATGAAGTCATTTAAATCAAGGTCACCCTTTGTCTTTTTTCAAAAACACATTGCCACTTCAAATTCTACCACCGATTCCAAGGACTGTCTAAATCATTTTATTTGGATGCTTTGCTGCATCAAATATTCCTTGAAATGTGTGAGCCATTGGCTGGATCCTGGACATGTTTTGTTCACAATATTTTGATGATTTTGTTACTCATGGTAAAGGGATTTGACATGGATGTCTGGTTTATGTTTGGCTTTTGGCATAAGCTTTGCAGTTTAATTTAGTGTAGAATTGGTTGTATCATTACCAGAACTAATTGGATAGAAATAGAAGCATATACTGCTACCTTCCCATCCCTGATACCAAGAAAATGCCTGTGTCCCAAGGGAAACCCAGTTAAGGGAGCTTGGAAACATTTTTCATGGATCATACTAGGTTTTATCTGAATTCCTTCCCATAAATAGTATTAGAATCGATTTTTACCATCTCTTTATTTCCTTCAGGCTAGGCACGTTTCCGTTGAGCTGTGCTAATCTCGCAGAAAACAGATGTTTCATGCAGTGATGATTTGGAAGACAGTTGATACCAGGAATTGAACTGAATGGTGCATCACTTACAAAGAATCCAATTTGTCGAGTCTCTGACAGCACCAGATTCCTTTCACATTGGCCACACGTTTTTTATATTAACTCTTGGCTAAAATAAGAACAAGTAGGATTTTTTTTTAATCCACTGATTTCTACCATCTCTTGCAAGGCAACCTGACTTTTCTTGCTGTTAACTGATGTACAAATAACACTTTGTTATCATTCATTGTGAGGGTCATAAATCTAGATTTCTAGGAAAAAATCAGTATTTTCCAAGAAACTTATGTGTTCTGTTCCTCATGTCTCCTTTGTCTTCTGACTGAGTGCATCAAAGTTTGACCTTGAACAACTACTTTGTTGATTTTCCCATCTTCCTTCACAATACATCTACTTCTGGATACTTAAAAGCATAAGGTATAAGGTTAAAAATGGAGAACTGTTATAATGTGGAAAAATTTTGTTTTGTTAGTCTTTTTCTTTCCTCGCCTATACTTGTCTTAACAAGATAAATAGATCAATAGACAAAATTCCTTTAGAGAATATATAGCCTCCCCTTCTGTGGTAGACAAATCCACC